GAGTGACTCCCTTACGCATACGGTTGCAAGTTGGTTGCAGCACAGCCCTGTTCACTTGTATGGGCCCCATTCACTGCTGGCACTACTTGATGAATGCAACAAGAGGTATAATTTATGCTGTGACCACAAAGAAAAGCTTGGTTTCTGTGGCATGTGTATAACCCATCTGGCTCCCTTTGCAGTTTAGGAGGGGCGATCAGGGGTTTCGATAAAGCCATAGCTCAATTGCCTATTTTTCCGGCTGTAAATTAGCCCTTACTGTAAAGCTGACCATAGACAATGCGATTTTTCTTTCCTGCAACCACTGGCTGTGTTGATTGGGGAATATCAGCCTATAGAAGAGAAGTGCAGACTCTTGAAGTGTTGGCTCTGAGGAAGAGGTTGTGTCCTCGAAATGCGTTAGACGGTTGGTCATCCAGGGTTCCATCGTATGGACTCAGATGCTGTTTGGATCAAACCCCTTGTTCAGTTTGACATGCCCGTGTTTTTATGTCTATTGTGAGTTTGATACTTACTTTGTTCCTTCAATAAATATATTTTTAAACGATAATGCACTAGGTCGGTGCGCCATCTTTTTTGTTTTTTCCATTTGCATTTAGTTGATTGGGGAATCCCTCCCACGGAGCTATTGTGTTCTCCTGGCAAGGGAGGGGGGCATTCTGTCCGGGAGAACACAGTAATTACTGCTGGCAGCTATAGCCGCTGCAAAAATTGAATGGAAAAATCCAACAGGCTGTTTGTACCCAAGTCGTACAACAATTGAATTGAGTAAAATCAGCCTACCAGTAGATTGTTCAAATCTTGGCCAGTCCTTGCTGAACCGGCCAAGATTCGAACTGTGGCCAACTTTCCTCTGTTCAAGGAAGCCTACCGGTGTGACTGAATCACTTCAGTGGGTTTCTCCATGTGCCTGAAATGTTATCAGCACTTGCTGGTCATTCGTGATTGAAGTGCTAGGCTGGTAGTCACTAATGGGAGGTCCACCAGTTTATATGGAGATATGGTACATTGAGTAAGTAGGGTTGTGTACTCTTTGGTGTAACATCTATATTCTAGTCTTCTAGGACCACCTTTTAAACCACGTTTCATGTTACACCAATATTTAAGATGTAATGTGATATATGGCCGCATTGCCCCAACCCCCAACTCTCATAATGCCCCCCTTTACCTAAATCGCGGGGGTGCTTCTCTTTGGAGCGTCCTGTTGTTGTTTGATGTTAGTGTGGCTGTGAATGGTTCCTCCTCCACAGCTGCATCATCCATTCATAGGTATCCATAAATGAGAAGACTACAAGTCCCATCAGCCACCAAGGCAGTGGGACTGATCACGCTGGGCACAAGTGCAGTACTGCCTCCATAACTGTAATTTTTTTACTTCCTCCAGCCCCATAACAGAAGTTTTGTTCCTCACATACACCTGGGCCAGGAGGTCAACAATACGGGAACCTAAAATTTACCTTTAAAAAAAAAAAAAAAAAAGTGTAGGAGCCTGTGCATTGATTGCACCTTTGACACACTGATCGTGATCTCAATGCTCTGCAGGCTATCAATGCAAGAAAAAAAAAAAAACTAGTGTATTTATTACATTTTTGTAGAAGGTGGATTGTGCCTTTTAAAACCCATGGATGGAAACAGCGGTATTTCCTGTGTGGGCGGTTGATTTGCTTTTTTTAAATGATGTTTGCTGAGATTAAGATGCCAATCTATTAGCACAAGTGTTGTGCCAGGAGGATTGGCTGTATCACCCTGTGATAAAATTACTTGGAGGATGACGGGACAGGAAAGTGAAAGCAGGAGGACAACCTACGTATGTAAACAGAGGTGAGCCCAGCTGATCAGGGAGGGGAAGTTCATTGTCCTCTGAAAAGTTCTTGATGAAAGTTGTGCAAACTCTTCTATTATCTTCAAGGCATCTCAGCTTCAAAGTGTTTGTAAAGCCAAGACCTTAATCTTCGTTGTAGATAGAATGTAAGCAAGCCGCGGCCATACATGGATTGAAATGAAGGAAAGGCTGGTTGTACAATCATCGATCTACCAATTGACTTTTGTACAACCAGACTTTTGTTTTTTTTCTGATTAATCAGCCCTGCCAGCTATAGCCCACAGCACTGATCATTGTATTCTGACCGTGGGGGAAGTCAGCAGGGAGGATTCCTCCATCCACATTGAGTGTATAGATGGGAGAATTGGGTCATTTTTTTCCATGTTTAACCCGATGGTTGAACGCAAATTACGGTTAATCTTTGGGCTGCCTTGATATTAGCTGTAGGTAGAATGTAAGAGGGCTAAAGCTGGCCACAGATTCCTCCATCCACATGATGTCCCCAGTGGGACTTTGATTTCTGACATTGGGACCCAACTGTCAGAATAAACTGACTGATTGGCTGAAGCCACTAATCAACAAAGGTTTTCCAGCATGTCCTTTTAGACAGACAAATGATTCATTTCTGTCAATCAGGGATAGCCACACACTAATCAAAATTTTAGTCGGTCCCTGCTGAACTGGCCTAAATTTTTTATCCATCTGTGGCTGGCTTAAGAGGGATAAAGCTGGCCATACACTGCTCGAATTTTGTCAGCGCCAACAATTAGTCAGTGTATGGCCAGCTTTATCCCTCTTAAGCCAGCCACAGATGGATAAAAATTTATATTTGAGCAGTGTATGGCTCTGACTGCACCATTTCATTGACGATTGTTCAGTTGAAGCCGGTGGGAAAACTGTCAGCTGAATACCGCCTGCATTCAGTCATATAGAAAAACCATTTGGGTTTCCCAACAGCTGGTGCCACCTTTTGGTATTATTTTTTTATTATTTTTTTTTTTATTTGCAACCTGTGTCTCACTGTTTGTCCTGGAGACATGACAGGAAGTAAGAGGTATCTGCAGAGTGACATAAAATTCAGTTGTCACCAAAACCTGTAGAAGACATTGCAAGATTGCTCCCTGACCACCTAAAAATGTTGAATTTTACTTCTGGAGAAGAAAAAACTGTCCGACGTTCTACCCTTCCCCTACTCTACATAATACATTTTTTTATATCTCTTTCTGTGTTTCTGTTGGAGGTTTTTCCCTCACTTCCTGTCTTTGAAAATGTCACCAGGATAATACATAAAGGAAAATCTCTTAAGAGCGTCCCAGTTACCCGTAACATCATAGATGCTTCCCCCAGTCTATCCAAAACTAAAAAGAAAACTTCTGCCTGGACATACGCTTTCACTTTGCCATTTGGGTCCACTTTAAATTGTGGAAAGTCTGTACATGTCTGAGATGAAAGCAGATTTCCAGAGACAGTAAGGAAAGTTGTTCTGGAGAAGCCGTCTGGGAGAATTTTTGTACTCCAGGCCTGGTAATTGTTTCCCTTTTGTCTGTGATGGAATTTTTCCAGCCACCTGGATGGGTGTAACATAGGAAATGAAATTCGGAAGAATGAACCAAAGCTTGGAGGATGGAATGTGATGACACGCGTGACTCTCTGAGTCCATAGACAGGGGCATCTCACAGCAAATCCTTGTGTATGATGAAGTCTTAGAGAGGACCTGTCTCTCTGGTTCATGACAGCTAATTGGCTTCCAACTTTTATCCTTCCAGCATAGGTTTGTAAAATTAATGTGAATTATAAGACGTTTAAAACATGATGTGTTTTGTGATCCTTTAACAATGAATGATGTCACTATATCCAACCCCCAATATTTAACCTTTCAAGGGAAGACCAAGTGACTTCCTACAGGAGACCCTGAAGACCTCAGGTGGCTGCAGTGAGCAGATGCTGACTTTTTTTTTTAGATATGTCTACTTTTTTAGATATGTCCACCTTGTAGACTATAGTCCCCCCATGTTTGCTTATTACAAATTCAGTCCCAGCTTCCTGCTTAGTTTTTCTACACAGTAATTGTCTGTCTAATCTTCTAACCTCACTGCAAGTCCACCGTAGAGGGTCTGTCTAATAGGAAGCAGACTTTATTTAGGGTTTCACACAGTGGCTTGGTGGTTATCACTTCAGGTTCTCCAGTTTCTGTTCACACTCCAAACACTTGCTGGAAGCTTAATTTGCCTTTTTGTCTAAATTGGCTTTCTTATGCATGTGTGTCTACAATTCTCAACTGCAGTCTCCTACCGCAGACCATGGAAACACTCTGCATGGAGCCATAGAATATGTAAGGCTCCAAGGTTTAAGATGCACCAAAGATTGCAATGTTATGATAGTAGGCATGGGATGGACTCCTGTAGGCTCCAATGGAACACCCACAATTCTTATGTTAGGTAGCAACTGTAGTCCCCTATGGCAGACTCTGGAAACACTCTGTTGTGTGGCTACTGCTGCTCTAGTATGCCTTTGAGGCATGCAGCCATAGAAAAAAGCAAGGGTCATAGGTTTAAGATGCACCAAAGATTGCAGTGGGGTCATGATAGGTATAGGATGGACTTCTGTCTGCTCTAAAGGAGCACCCACAATTCTTATGTTAAGTAGCAACTGCAGTCTTCTATGGCAGACCCTGGAAACACTCCACCGAGTGGATAATGCATCTTTGGTATGCTTTCCAGGCATGGAGCCATAGAAAAAGTAAAGCTCCAAGGTTTAAGATGCACCAAAGATTGTAATGTGGTCATGGGTAGTAGGCATGGGATGGACTTTTGTAGACTCCAACAGACCACCCACAATTCCTATGATAAGTAGCAATCGTGATCATTGCTTGGGCTTCAGCTCAAATGGGAGAGCTTAGAACTTTTATTCCCATCAAGCAAACGGCATCCATAGCCAAAATATGAATGGATCTGGTAATGCTGATATGTAATCTATCGGTAATCTATTTTAATGACAGGTACATGTTAAGTTGGTTGAAGGGGCTTGATGGTAGTGCATCAGAAAGTATTGATTATTAGGGTGATGTGAAGGGACCTGTACTTTACTGATATGTATGTGCTATATTTCTATTGATGTATCGATTTTTCTTTTTCAGCCAATCCATGAGCCCAGACTTCCCCAGCACTACAGCTTCAGAATGCCTAATATCGGGTTCCAGAACCTCCCCCTCAACATCTACATTGTGGTATTTGGCACGGCGATCTTCGTCTTTATCCTGAGCCTGCTCTTCTGCTGCTATCTAATCCGGTACGTCTCAGACTAAGCCTGCTTATCTCTTAGGGATCATTCACACCATAGTCCGTGCATATCGCCTATGTGCTGGTGTTCAGTTTTACAGTGCGTTACGCTACAATGCGTTTTTAACACTCTGCAGTGCATATTTTTTTTTTTCTTGTTTTTTACTTTTTTGCTGTTTCGATTCATCTCCTTTCATGCCAAACGAAACGTTTATCCACAGTGTGGTTAGGGGCAGGTTTTATTCTTAGTGCAACTTGACCAAACGAGGGAAGGATGTACGGGTCCAATTGCAATATTATAGTAAACTTGCCTCGTAAATCTGTGTCATTGCTTCTGTTTAGAACTTGCTTGCTATGCAACAGAATTGATGTCCCCCAATGTTTTTTGCCTGTCCTTGCTTTGTGGCTGCATTGAGCAACAGACCAGCCCTTGAGGTGTGAGCAAGCCCTTTCAGGCCTGCACCAGCAGTCTGTCACATTCGGCATTGGCCTGAAAGATCGCTACCTCAGAGCCGGGCTGTATTATAGATACAGAGATGCACTTTCTGACATACTGACTGCAAAAAAAGAATGGACAACTACAAGTGACATATCTGCTGAATGACTTCTTGAAGGTAAACTCTTGTAGCTAAGATCACCTGTACCGGGGGAATACCTGCAGATCATGGGGTTCCATAGCAAAAATTTGATTGGGGCCCCCCGGCAACCATCATTGATCGGAAAGTAGAAGTCCAGCCAAATACTATGTAAGCTTAAACCTGCTCCCAAAACCCTAAGCCTATTGTAACTAGCCTGTGAAGCAGGGCTGTCAAGTTCAGTTTCATTGCAGACCACATAAGCATTATGGTTGCCCTCAAAAAGCCAGTTTTATCTGTAAGACTAGATGTCCAGAGCATCCCACTCCCCTTTCATCAGATGCCAAAAGAGTCCCCCACCCTGCCTTACCAAAGTGCCCCCCCTTAGCTTGTGTTGCTGTGGCAGAGCTGGGAAGCAGAAAGTGCAGGGTCTGGAGGAGGACCTCAGAAGGGCTGGAGTCAGATGCCAGAGTCTGCTGAATGCTGACACCAGGGGAGGTGGAGAAGGGTGCTACGGCTGCACAGGATCTGTGGGAGTTCTGTTCTCTCTGCTGCCGACTGTTAAGACCGAGGGGGGGGGAGCAGCAGAGACCAGCTTCTCTGTGCATGCACGGAGAAGCGCAGGATCTGGCAGAGGAGTTCTGCTCTCCTCTCTGCTGCTAACAGTTAAGACTGAAGGTGGGGGGATCCAGGGACGAGCTCTTCCACGGCTGCACAGAGAAGTGCAGGATTTGGCGGAGGAGTTATGTCCTCCTCTCTGCTGCTGACTGCTAAGACAAGGTAGAGATGGAGACGAGGTGGGTGCTGTAGCTGCAGTAGAGGTGCAAGGATCACATGAAATAGCCTGGTGGGCTGGATCAGCACGCGGGCCTTGTGCTTGATACGTGCTGTAAAGGAAAGATGCCTATACTTACATCTGAATGTGCTCTGATCCGATCACATGGCTCCTGGTACCGGCTTCAGGGGAGAAGAGGGACAGCCGACAATAGATGCCCCATAGAATGCCTATGGGTGACACCACCGCATAGGCATTGCAGCTGTTGTCAGCGGATCTCTCCACTGAAGCCGAACGCTGGTGAAATCACGTGACCGGACCTGAGCGCCCAGGGAATAGGTACATATAAACATCTTTCCTTTACAGGGTAGATAGTATTGAGCTTAGAATGGGGTTTTAAGCTTAGATCGTATTGGACTTCTACTTTAAGTATGTCTAAATCAAAGGCTGGCAGTGAGAGAGCTGTCAGCATAATTAGTAGATTACTAGGGACCAGTGCTGTGGACAGACATCAAGAAAGAGAGGTGCATCAGCACAGGGAATAAACTTTTAACAATATATTTTCAACTAACTTCTCTGTATTCAGGATCTCAGAATCTCATATACTGTATGTAACTTTTTGATTTTGCATTTAGCACCACTTTAACAGACCCCTAATGGGGCCCCCTCCTACCCCAGGCCCCATAGCTGTTGCGTAGGCTGCAATGGCTATTGTTCTACCACTAACCCAATCAGTTAATTGTTTTCCAGACTCTCTGTAGTTGGAGCTGAAGAAGTTTTGCTTGGTGACTCACTGGCATTCAGTAATAGCACACAGACAAACCGGCGTCTGTACAATGCCATTTTATGTGTATAATTAAATATTACAAATATGTTTTGCAATATTAAAAAAAAAAAAAAAAAAAGCTTCAGTTTCTAGGGGTTTTTTTTTTTTGGCTTTTGCGCATTTGATCAGCTGAAGGGCTTGTGACTTTTGCTCGCTACAAGTGGGTTTTGCATACAGGTCTATGAGAATAGAGAGGAGAGTGGCAGAGCGGCGAACTCATCACTATGCTGCTTCTCCTTTCACTGTCCAGTCACAGGCTGGGGGAGGAACGAGACCTGTAAATGTTACTGAACTGTAACCGAGAAAAAAAATCAGGACTCGTGCACTGCCGGACAGGGCTGTGCTGTGTCACAGAGCTGAATAAATCTCAGGACTGGATGGGAATAGATTTTGCTTTTTAACTGCAAAGTGAATGAACAAAGTGACAGGTGTGCTTTAAAATAAAATATATGACTGTTTCTGTGTACAATTTTTGTACAACAGCCATAACATTGTGAATTCACCACTTTCTGTAATCTCACATTTTTCGGGGGTGTCCTGCTGGGGAAGTGATATACTGATTTTGGCAACCATCCCCTTGAATAAACTCCTGAACAAGTGGACAGATCACTGAAATGTGTAGATTTCTTGCTCACTTAAATGTGACAGTGTAAAAAATGTTTCCTATTGTGACAAAGCTAACCTGACACATGTTGGGCATGAGCTAGGAGGAGCACCGTAGTTACAGTCATGTGCACTGCACACTGCATGTCCCATAGTCCATCTTAAGATGAACAAGAGAGGGTGGCTACATTCCTACATACAGTGGGGACCAAGGAGAACGAATGTAGCCGCCCTCTAACAGGAAGTCAAAAGAGCAGCAAAAAAGAAAATTAATTTGGAGGTTATGAGTAATAGAAGGTACTTTTTTTTAATTAAAGTGGACCTTCACCCTAAAGGACCTTCACCCTAAAGGCGTATTTGTCCCCCGCTACCCTGTGCGTGTACCGACGTGCCGCAAGGCTTTGGGTCCCTCCGACCTGAATAGAGTTTTTTGTGTTTTTAAAAGAGTCTAGTGCCACTTTAAATTTGATTTAAACTAATTGATTTGAACTAAATTACATTGTGTTCTTTCTTTTAACATGAAAAAATATTTAATGATAACTGGCATGAATGTTGACTAGTACTATAGAAAAATCTGTTTTAAAATAATATATATTTGGCCAAGTGTTAAATTGAACATACATGGAAAAACTTTCTAGCAGGTTTGTCCAGTTTCAATTTTTAAAACATAGGCCGGCCATACATGGATCAAAATTCAGCAGGGACTGGTCAAATTTCGATCCATGTTTGGACAGGTTGGTCATACAGAAGTTGATCTACCGAAAGACTTCTGTACAAGCAGCCTGCCCAAACATGGATCAACTCAAACACATGGATCTACCAATCAACTTCTGTACAACCAGTCTGCCCAAACGTGGATCAACCAGCCTGCCCAACATGGAACTACCAATCAACTTCTGTATAACCAGTCTGCCCAAACATGAGTCAACCAAACATGGATCTACCAACTTACTTCTGTACAACCAGCCTGCCCAAACATGAGTCAACCAAACATGGATCTACCAACTTACTTCTGTACAACCAGCCTGCCCAAACATGGGTCAACCAAAAATGGATGTACCAACTGACTTCTGTACAACCAGCCTGCCCAAACATGGATCAACCAGCCCACCAAACATGGATCAACCAAACATGAATCAACCAGCCCAACCAAACATGAATCAACCAGTCCAACCAAACATGGATCAACCATACATGGATTTATTGATTGACTTCTGAACAACCAGCCTGCCCTAACATGGATAAACTAAACATGGATCAACCAGCATGCCCAAACATTGATCAACCAAACATGGATCTGCCGACCGACCTCTGTGAAACTACCCAGTGGGGTTCTTCCAGAACAGTGGCTAAGAAGTTAGCACTTCCGCCTGGCAGCACCAGGGCTGCCGGTTCTATACCCAATCATGGCACTACCTGCATGGAGTTTGCATGCTTTCCCTGTGCATGCGTGGGTTTCCTCCCACACTCCAAAGACATGCTGGTAGGTAATTGGTTCCTGTGGGCCCTGGTATGTGTGTGTATGAATGGGAATTAGGGACCCTAGATTGAAAGCTCCTTGAGGGCAGGGACTGTGATCGGACTGTAATGTAATATAAATATATATATATACACATACAGTCAGGTCCATAAATATTGGGACATCGACACAATTCTAAAATTTTTGGCTCTATACACCACCACAATGGATATGAAATGAAACAAACGAGATGTGCTTTAACTGCAGACTGTCAGCTTTAATTTTGAGGGTATTTACATCCAAATCAGGGGAACGGTGTAGGAATGACAACAGGTTGCATATGTGCCTCCCACTTGTTAAAGGACCAAAAGTAATGGGACAATTGGCTTCTCAGCTGTTCCATGGCCAGGTGTGTGTTATTCCCTCATTATCCCAATTACAATGAGCAGATAAAAGGTCCAGAGTTCATTTCAAGTGTGCTATTTGCATTTGGAATCTGTTGCTGTCAACTCTCAAGATGAGATCCAAAGAGCTGTCACTATCAGTGAAGCAAGCCATCATTAGGCTGAAAAAACAAAACAAACCCATCAGAGAGATAGCAAAAACATTAGGCGTAGCCAAAACAACTGTTTGAAACATTTTTAAAAAGAAGGAACGCACCGGTGAGCTCAGCAACACCAAAAGACCCGGAAGACCACGGAAAACAACTGTGGTGGATGACCGAAGAATTCTTTCCCTGGTGAAGAAAACACCCTTCACAACAGTTGGCCAG